AACTGCTAGCTGTCCTCTGAAGTCCCTTGATAAGCAGAGTTTAAATGTGTGACATATATAAACTCTGCTGTTCTCTGAGGGCCTTAGATTCCTGGTGGTAATCAGCAAACCTGCGGTTCAGGTGACAGAAAGCTCTTCAAGGTCGTTCGCTTGTTAAATTCACAAATCTGGTCTCTAATGGGAAAAATTTCAAAAAATTTAAAAACAATCAACTGGACTCTGTTTTCCAAGTTTGAAGATGTTTCTCTTCCCATCCAGGAAGCTTTTTTTTTTTTTAATTCAAATTGTCAGAAATATCGTTGAGTTTCAGGCTTTTCCAATATTTCTTTCTAATGGGAGAAATTTATTTTTTTAAGTTTGCAGCAAACCGGGAATAAAACAAAGATGAAGTATGGAAGAGGGTAGAGCTAGAAGATAGAAACATATAGTGCTTGTAACTCGGCTCTGGTTGCACTTCTCCATCATTTGCAACCTTAAACATCTTGAACACGCAGTATCTGCAGAGAGACACTGTGCAAAAATTCTTTTTTTTTTAAAGAAGTGCATTTGTTCTTGGATTAAAGAGGTAAAAGAGACATTTTGCCAATGGAATAAGACAATTTACACTTAAAATAAGAAAACACTATTGCATTGTCGTATTTCAAGTGCATTCTATCTAATTATCTTATTTTAAGAGTAAAATGACTCATTCCATTGGCGAACTATTTCATTTACCTACTCAAATTAAGGGTGAATACACTTCATTTAAGACATTTTTACTTATTTCTAGATCGTTTTTGCAGTGCATGGCAATGCGACGTCATGGAGAAGCTGATGGAGGAAGATGTCAACACCTTTACTCTGATTTCACCTTCATTAAAAGCTCCAAACATGGAAGATAGGCTGATAGATGGAACTAAATAATTTACTGGAAGATAAACTATAAAGGATACGCTGCAAAAAATATAAATCTAATTAAGTATATTTCTCTTAAAATAAGTGCATATTTTTAAAGGAGGAGGTGAAACACTTTGTTAATGGAACACAACAATTTACATTTAAAATAAGAAAAAAAAAACCTGTATTATTATTGGGGGGCATATATATACACCCCACACTTTTCAGATTTGTAAACATAAGTCAAAATAAAACTAAAACATGCATCCTTTTCTTCCTGCTCATAATTATCCACAAAGTAATGTTGGTTTGTCACAAATTTCTCAACTAAAGGAACGAAAATGTGCAAAGCACCATATTCCCCTCATGGCTTTTCTCCACGCCTGCGAAGCGTTACTAATACGGACAAACAGGAAAAGCCTCGTAGAGTTTCCCAAATTCAATCCCAATTAAACACAACCTTTAAGGAAATGAGACGCTTTAACAACCATAATAGTTTTCACCCCAATGATCTAGTTATGTAAAAATATTGCTATTATCTCTTCATGCTAAGATGAAATGTTTTATAAAGTCTATCTTAGCTACAGCCCCTAAATCACACAGAATAAGCAGGAGGAAAAAATTAAAGATAAATACATTTATGCAGTCAAATGGTTTCCTGTTTGCCTAAAAGCAGCTCATTCTATAAGTTCACCTTCGACCTCAGGTCAAAGAATCAGGTGCTCTGTAACTGGTTCAGCTACGTCCAGCAGGGGGCAGTGTGACCTGCTGGTTTGCATGCTGCAGCCCAGTGCTGTAAAGATTGAGGAGGAGCATCCCAGCAGGAGGAGGTGTGATGTGCTGCCTGTCTCTCCCAGCTACAGACACTCTTCTTCTCTGACGTAGAGGATCTCATGGGCTGAGCTGGGAACCTGGCAGAGGCAGAAATGAGGAAAAAGATGGCGGTCAGAGGCTGTGCATATTTCCCCACAGACAACACAATCTATACCGCAGCTCTATAATGGATGGAAACTCACATTTAGTCCCCTACAGCTCTTCAAGCTCTAGATAAACTTTAAACTTTAGTTGCAGCCGAGGCTAAAAAGTTTGGTAGACATTAAGATATTGAGCTGTTTTATTTTATTTTATTTATTAAAACATTTCCAACATGTACGGAGGGTCAAATGAAAATATTTGCTCATGTAAAAAAAATCTGTTAACTGTTGTATTTACAGTGCTGACCCCTGGGGGGGTCAGCACTGTAAATACAACAGTTAACAGATTTTTTTTATTTTATTTCAGTATAGTATGGGGAAAAAGTCAGAATTCTGACTTTTTTTATTGTCAGAATTCAGTCAGAATTCTGGGATTAAAGTCTATTTAATTTTGAAGTTGTTTCTAAATGGTCATTAAGGGCACGTTTATGAGGGGGATTAGATCATCCAAAATGAAAAAATATTATCATCAAATGTGACTGAGGTTATGTTAAAACTGGTGTTCAAACCGTCAGCAGTGACTCGTATTTCAGGACCGACTCCTGCTGATCTTCATTCTTGGCTTTTTTTGCCGCAAACAAAAATTAAGCTTCAGCAAATAAGCATTAAACCCGGTCCAATCTGTCCTCCTGGAGCAGCGCCTGCATCCTTTCAAAGCTGACTAACATGAGAGGCATTCAGTAAATCAGAGCAGCGTTACCCAGCAAAGCTGCTAAAAATCACGACCTCAGAAAGAAAATATGGAAAAACCCGAAAGGTAATAAAGAGAAGAAAAATGTTTGGGATTCCGGGTGCAGTAGGAGACGGACGGTTACCATGCCAACATTGATAGTAGGTTAAAGATATGTGACAAGCAGTGGTGACTGGCCAATAGAGGGCGCCGCCCCACCCACCCAATGACCCTAATTAAGTCATATAAATAAAGAAAATGTATTTTTTATCATTTCATTTTAAATGAAGGTTTTAAATATTTAGAAATATATTAATATTTATTTTTAGATGTGCAAGATAAACGTTTAATCTTGAAAGACTATTAAAGCCTCATTCCCTTTTTGGTCAGATTGGCGACTTATTTCCCCCCTAGGAAGTAAACTTGTTTACCCAGTGACGGAATAAAAGACTCAAACGCAGAGGAGAGCTCCCGCCACAGCGCCGACGTTTGGCAGGTGATCGAAAGGTCGAGTCGTGGGAGTAAGAGAAGAGAGAACTGGTTTAGCTCCAAGGCTAGGCTAACTGCATGCAGTCAGGCTAACTGCCTGCAGCCAGGCTAACTGCATGCAGCGAGGCTAACTGCATGTAGCGAAGCTAACTGCGTGCAGCGAGGCTAACTGCGTGCAGCCAGGCTAACTGCGTGCAGCCAGGCTAACTGCGTGCAGCGAGGCTAACTGCGTGCAGCGAAGCTAACTGCGTGCAGCGAGGCTAACTGCATGCAGCGAGGCTAACTGCCTGCAGCCAGGCTAACTGCATGTAGCGAAGCTAACTGCGTGCAGCGAGGCTAACTGCATGCAGCCAGGCTAACTGCATGTAGCGAGGCTAACTCCATGCAGCGAGGCTAACTCCATGCAGCCAGGCTAACTGCATGTAGAGAAGCTAACTGCGTGCAGCGAGGCTAACTCCATGCAGCGAGGCTAACTCCATGCAGCGAGGCTAACTGCATGCAGCCAGGCTAACTGCGTGCAGCCAGGCTAACTGCGTGCAGCCAGGCTAACTGCGTGCAGCCAGGCTAACTGCATGCAGCGAGGCTAACTCCGTGCAGC